TGGTTCACACAGAGATTAGAGGTTCATGAATCGTAATAGGCTGGCCAATCCAAACTAGTAATATGTTAAAATGAGACAGACGTTTCATTAAAAGCTATCCAGTCGAGGCTGCTGCGGGCTGCTGCAGATCCCAGTGCACTGACGTTTAACAGACCTGACAGAATCACGATGTGCCAGTTCCACAGCGATTGTGATCTCATCTAAGCTACCCATGTGAAAATGATAAAGGCTTTGAGAACACTTACTGATGATCCAGTGACAACAGCAAGATCCACACGCAAAACTGCCGGCACCACTGCTGTTGCAAAGAAGCAGTCTCCTCGATTTCTGCAAAGCCAGAGACTCCGCCCACCCTGACAACATCATCCACCAGGAGCGAGGGCTGCTCCGTACAAGAGGAGGGGCTTATTGTCAGTCCGAGAGAGAGAGAGACCTTGTTTTTTTTTTTTCAATCTAAAGGTACGCTGAGGTGTGTGTTACAAGACAATTATACATTTCGTTGAAATGAAAAATCCCAACAGGATAATTAATTATTGTTTTCAGTGAGAAAAAAAAAAGCTTTCTGAGATCGATGAGATTGGCTGCTATTTAACAGCCAATCAAAAGAGTCTCTGCTGGCACGAGAGTGGAAAAAGGCGTGGAAACGGAAGGACACTGGCATTAATTTATTAATCATCACTGTGTCTTTTTATTGTCTTGTTACGGCAACAATTGGGTGTTGTGTGACTAGGAGAATGAAGTATGTAGCCTAAAGCGCTTTGAGTGCTTCTTCTGGCGTACTGCAGCATAAATAAATAGTGTAAATAAAAGTATATAATTGAGCAAAAAAGCTTGACGTTTTTTGAAGAGCTGAGTTTTGACAAGTTTCTTTAAAAAGTCTTCCTTCCTTTTGAGTTTTGTCACTTCTGTTGTGATTTTGTTCAGCCGTGTTTTGCTTTTCCCAGCTGTCTCCACTTCCCTAATCACCCTTTTGTGTACCGGTGTATATATAGTCGCTGTCTCTTTTTGTCCCCTGTCAGAGTATCAGTTCTGACAGAGAACAACAACAACAGTCCTCCACGCACTTTATATTGTGTGGTAAAGACCTTACAGTTATACCAAGGAAACCCCAATAATCAGATGGCCCCAAATGAGCAAGCACTTGGTGATAGTGGGAAGGAAAAACTACAGGAAGAAATCTTCAGCAGAACCAGGCTCAGGGAGGGGCAGCTGTCTGCTGGGGGTGAGGAGAGGGAGATGGGAGAAAAAGAAACAATTTGGAAGACATTAATAATAACCAATTATTCAATTCATAGTGGTATATAAAAACAGAAAACTTTTTTTTAAAAAGCTGACCCTTTGGAGGAGCTCATCTCGGTGTGGTTCCAGTTTAACTCAGGAGCAGTCTGTTTATGGGGTGAATGTGATCTGACTTCCAGTTTGAACCAACCAACATTGCAAGTCTGAGCTAACAAAAAAAAAACAAAAAACTTGTGGCAATGTACTATAGATATGAAAAGGTCTGTATGGGCTAGCACTTAGCCGTAAAATGAATGGAAATTCTCCATGTTCTCCAGTAATCCAGAACACAGAACCGTATTCCTGACAGAAGCAAAAGCGAAAGAGTAGGTTTACAAATTGTTAGTGAGACTTGGTTTGATGTATTGTTGCCCCTGGCCCAATGCACTTTTGCCCAATGAGTGGACTCTCATGTGGTTAGTAGTGACACATTGTGGTTGGCTTACAGTTCATCTGGATTCTCTGTCCGAAAAGAAACCAAATCACAGGAAAAAAGCTTATATGTTTACAAACTCATCAACTGATTCGGACCAGCGTAAACAAGAGACAAGGCTGAGGTGGTCTGGACATGTATCGAGGATGGAGAGTAAATAGAGTGAATGGAGTTGCCAGGCAGCAGACCACAGAGAACATTCATGGATGTAATGAAGGATGACATGTAGATTGTTGTTGTAACAGAGTAGGAAGATGGAGGCAGATGATCTGCTTTGGCAACCTCTAAAGGTAGCACCTGAAAGAACGTCTGCCCATCTTTATGTCTGAGAAACTCGGCCTCTCTAAGATTTTTTTTCCATAATACCCAGTCATGTTACTGACATGCTGCCAGTTACCTGAATTAGTTCCAAAATTATCCTCCAACTGTTTTTAGCATCACTTAGGCCTAGACTAGGCTGTATACAACTGGCTGTAAAATCAAGTAGCCATTCCTGTTATTATTTGAAATCTGCAGTCTGAGGTGCGTAGCTGTCACATTGCAATGTAAGTTCTTTTCACCCAGCAGAGTACGCTGGGTGATTTAAAAAAAAAAAAAGAGCTACACAAATCTTCACAGACCCTCACACTCACTGATAATTTATGTCACCCAGACCTGAGCGGATTTTCTGGTGCAGAACATATAATCCCAGTTTTTATTTGCTTTTCCAGACTTTTGTACCCTTGTCTCATCACTTGGAGCGATGATAAATCAGTCCAAAGTATTTCTGAGTGATCACTTACAAAGAATTTGAAGATGGAAAAGAAAAAAAAAAAAAAGAATTTGAAGATGGGTGTGGAGTAGTACAGTTAGCTCTAGAAGGACTCTTGTAGAGCTCCAGCGAGCCATAGATGTTTTACTTTACCTCTTATTAATTTCATTCTCTTTCTTCTTTTCATTGACTTTAACTTATTACTCTGTCTGTGACACAGTTAAGACTCGGGTTGAATTACAAATGATCAAGAATCATTAACATGACTACTGCGTTTAATGATCAACTCCCAACTGAACAAAGAAAGACTAAAAATCAGACACAGTTAATCAGAAATTACCCGAACCCTGGACATGTGGTGACAGAAGTTACAACGAAAGAATTTCTGTGCTCAAAAACACCAACAAGAACAAACGAAAAAGATTCCAAACACATCAAACATCTAGACGGTGATGTAATCACATCAAGTTTTCAAGACTTTTTTCAATATAGAAACTTATTTTTGCATTAGAATTGTAACAAAAAACCCAAAACAAAAACAATAAAATTAATCTTCATTTCATTTAAATGCAAAGCAGCAGAACAATAATTATCTAAAGTATAAGTGCAATTAGTTTTTAATCTTCATTCCAACCATTCTTTACTCTTTACAGTAAACCTTCCACCAGCACCGGGCTCAAAGCAACTAAGAAAACATCCAGCTAAATTTAGGGGTTTGACTTTTGTTCTTGCAGAGGCAAAACCACCATGTCATGTTTGCCAGTGATTTATGTCGTTTTATATTGGTAGGGTTGAAGATAAGTGTTGTGACATTAGCTAAATTTCTGTTTCAATAAAGCATCAATAGTGCATCTACCATAAACCTTAGTAAATTATTTTTGTACAATTCATTTAAAAATGTGTCCCCAAAGTAATAGCTGGAAAAATAACCATTTCCTCTCCTGTCACCTAATTTTAATAATAAAATAATAAAACACAAAACCTCTTCATAAATTATTATTTGATGCGCTACTTTAGAGTCAAGGAAAACAATCCATTTTGTAAGTAGTAGAAAATGCATACAGTATGTTCAAGTAGCCCGTAAGTAAGAGTAAGACATAAGATACAGGCAACCAGTGAAACTGAAAAAACAAAGCACCCTAACCCCAATTGTCCCTCTGATATAGTACTTACATTTTAAGGATAATATTTTGGAGAGAAGAGTATTCTCCCTCATACAGTGAATACCTGAGGCAAAGCTTCTCTGTGGCAGAAGCCCACTTTTTGCTCAGGTTCCATTATTGTGTAAAAAGTAGTTTTCTAGTGTAGCGTTTACACTTTTGCTTGGCAAGTGAAAGTTTGCTGGTTCAATTCCAGCTGGACACACATATACCCTTTGAGACTGAGTCAGGAAAGGCATCTGGCATACATCGCTCTGTAGCAACCCCTTGTGGTAAGAGATGAGTCAAAAGTACATTTTGTGAATAAAAACGGGAACATCTCACATGTCCCATAATCAGATTCTGCTTCACACAGCTCTGGCTAATGTACACTATGTTTGTTAATAGGGTAAATGTTTCTATAGAAAAGATTGTTTATTGTTGTAAAATTCAACTTGACTCTTACTGTATGTTAATGCGCACATGAATGTTTGAAGGCAATATATCAGTTGGTATTTTACATATGCATATCATGCATATCATTTGCTTCAACCATTCACAGTAAGGGGGTCAAAACTAACTTTAAGCTGCTTGATTTCCAGAGTTCTAAGAAATATTTTGTTTAAAATCTGAAACGAAATCTATAATATGGCTGCTCCTCTGCTCTGTAATCCAACACCAGATGAATCAGCTGACAGAAACTCCAGCCCGTCCCCCGTTTGATAGAAAAATCTACACTAAAACGTTATAATCAACTGACAGGTAGCACCGATGACTGCCTCAGCTGATCATAATTCAATGCACCTACATCTGATGGAAAACACTCAACAGTCATTTTGAATTTGATGACAGCAACATAACTTGGAATTTGGCACAGGTTCATACTGAGTAGCATCCCAGCTTCTTTTAACAAAATCTGTAAATGTCTGGGAAACGAGGAGGCTTGACCTTTGGGAGACGAGAGCTGCCCTATTCTTGTCTGAAAGAAGAGTATCTGCTCAACAGTCCTGGGGTTGTCTTTGCTGTATTTTCTGTTTGTTCTGAACTGTTTCGAATGCTAGCCACAGAGATATTCTCAAATTGCTCCATAATTTTAGAGTAAAGCTGTTTTTTGCAGATTGGTGAACCTCTGTCCATGTTTACTTCAGAGAAACTTTGTCAATCTAAGAAGCTCTTTTCATACCCAGTCATGCTACTGAATTGTTGTCAGTTAATTACTGCAGTTGCCAGTTATCCTGCTTTGTGTCACTTTTCCAGACTTTTGTTGCCCTATCTCAGCTTGAGACACGTTGCTGCCATTACATTTAAAATGAGCTAGCATTTTTCTTGAAATGATATATTCTCAGTTCAAACATTTGACATGTTTTCTGTGTTCTGAGTTTGAGATTTGCAAATCATTGCATTCTGTTTTTATTTACATTTTACACAGTAACTTTTTTTAAAGCATCTTTTAGGCTGGTTGCTCTAAGATGGTTAGAAAACCTGCAGAAACAGTCATCCTATCTTGTGCTCCCTTCTGCCTCTTGGCCTTCAGGGTGCATCTCTTCTGAGGCTTCCAAGTCATCGATCTCAGAAGACGACTTCAGGTTTTTCTCTGGTACCAAATCGCCTGAGGTGTGATGTGGCATCTCTGGTGTAGGTGGAGAGATCGGAGGGTTGATGCTGCTGCCGATCCCAGTAGGATTTTCCTCCTGGAATGTTGTCTCAGCCTGTGTGCAGCTGGTTTCAGTCAAATCTGTGCTCGCGCCTGCACGTCGAAATAACTTCTGACCTGTGGCACAAGGCAAGTGTGATGTACAACACAAATCAGTACCTGCTGATTTCATGAAAACACTAAACTGGTCAAGATATAAACCTGTAAGCTCTCTAACGATGAAAAGTAGATCTTTCAAAGAGAAGAAGCTATTCTTTAAGAGAGAAATGGACTAAATATGCTGAGACCAAATGCAAAGTACTAATGGGCTCCATGAAATCATGGTCATGTGGATTTACTTTTCGAGGTGAAACTTTCAAAAACTAATGAAAGCATTCAGTGACAAAAATATAAACCAAAATAATAGAAACAACAAAGATTACCATGACATGCAAACTTGTGGGTTTGCTCATCAAAATGCTCTCAGAATGAAAAAGTCATCTTGTATCTATTTTTATCCAGACGGTGCTGTGAAGCTTTCAGCGCCTCTGCTAGATTTCGATTGCTTCCTCAAAGTCCTTTTTCCGGCTCTTGTACTTGTGCCTCTGCTATGCTTTCTGGATGTTCTCCACTGTGTCCAAATGGTGACATGGGAGACATGAATTTTTATATCATGTTGGACAAAGCTTGTGATGGTATGGCTGTTTAATGCACTAAGCTGGTGTACAATGCCATGAAGAGGGTAAAACATCCTCTTCTTTTTGCCGCTTGAAAGTATGTAAAGTGTTCTCCCTCAGACAGACCAGCATGTTTATAGACCTCTCTATTTACAGTCTGACACTGAGATGATTTCATGGGAAAACAACCCTGTGAATGTCACATATAACTAAAAAAAAAAAGGTTTTCTCCTTGTCCTGACAGTTCAATTCAATTCAATTTTACTTATATAGCGCCAAATCACAACAAAAGTCACCTCAAGGTGCTTCATAGATACAGAGAAAAACCCAACTATCATATGACCCCCTATGAGCAAGCACTTTGACGACAGTGGGAAGGAAAAACTCCCTTTTAACAGGAAGAAACCTCAGTCAGAACCAGGCTCAGGGAGGGGTGGCCATCTGCTGCGACCGGTTGGGGTGAGAGAAGGAAGACAGGATAAAAGACATGCTGTAAGTGCAGACTGAAACCCAGCTCTGTATGTTTACTCTCTATGCAAGTGGTCAGAAACGGGTTTCCAGGAATCTGAAAATTGCACCTGACCTGGAAGTAATCCAGATGCATATGCACACAACCTTGAAATAGAGACGGTGCATATTTAAGTTTTAATAGGCAATGTCTCTAAACTTTGTTACACCTTGTATTGGCAAGAAGACCAATAACATACTGAATCTGTAAAGTAGCTTTGTATGATTGAAAATAATCATTTTTATTTTACACTGCTAGCTCCACACAGAGGACAAAGCAAGGCCTGGTTTTAGCACCTTCTTCGTTTAAGTGAACTTTCTTCTAAATTACTGCCTCTGCAAGCAGACTCGAACATCACAGGGGTGAGGCTCCTGGATCTGAAACGGCCAAATAAAGGTCCCTCTCTTTTTGACCCCGCTAGCTTTGAGAGTGGAAAAAACATAAATAAACTTGGCGCCTAGAGCAGTCTGAAGCTGAACTTTAGTCACACAGCGACGATTTATGCATAGTCAAATAAGGACAAGCAGAACAGGTTACCTTAAACTTGAGCAAGAAAGCTGACAACAGGAAATGATAAGTTAATTATTATGTGGTGGTTAGTGTAGACATATTGCACAAAGTGCTTTTATTGGCGATCTGCTATTACCAGAGCGAGTGTGAGTGAAAGGCAGGAACTATCTTACCTGGCAGTTTCTTTGATGAAGAAATGGGAGTGTCCTGCAGGGATGGCCTGTCAGCTTGGGCTTTGGTGGAGTAAGTCACTTCTGTGGAATCCAGAGAACCTAAAAACACCCAAGTCATTAACCAACTCATGCTCTGTATGTTACACATACTGTAGATTTGCTATATTTAAACTCAATTAGTTTTTATATGTAATCAGTGACTCAAATACTTGAAGGACCTGGAACAGGAATAACTGTTGACAGAATACGTCGACTAAAACAGCAAGTCAAAGAAACTTGGTGGGTATTAGCAAATTAAATTCAAGCTGTAAAGTTTTTAAAAGAGAAAATGTAACTCTCTCAAAAGCTCTTCTTCTAAATTCAGTCTGAAACTAAGAAACATTCAATGAAGAACCTGAGAACAAAGTATTCCACTTTACCTACATAAACATGTGGTTGAAACAAGAATAGCTTTGTGGGTTACACAGAATGAGTCTGTCCTAACAGAGAAATGGACTACCTGCTGCAAGACTGAATGTCCGTCCCTTTATGGAGCTTTGGATCGGAGAGAACCAGTTTAACACAGAGCCAACCACAGGAAGCTGTCTCAGCATTCCCTAGAATACACAGCAGGAGTTACAATTCATCATTTCAACACACAACTCAGTCTAGGCACACTCCCATTTATTCATCTGTACTGGAACACACAGTGAAGCAGCGAGCAAATCTTTCAAAAGTGTATACAAGCACCAGAACTTGTGCTTTTCTCTCTGAAGCTATTAATCTGAAGACAAAAAGAAAGTTGCTACTTCCAACACAGAGAACATTTAATTCCAACCGTTGGATAGAGACTGAATGGAGTTCAGAGCTGTCTGTTTTTTTTTTCCTTTGGGAGGCTCTTGAGAAGTTTTGAAGTAATACTTTTTTTGTTTTAAATAGTAAAACTGCAAAAAAAACTTCTCAACATCACAGGTACAAATTTTAGTGACCATTAAGTTATGTATGGGCAACAAGGATTGAACTTGACTTGTGAAACAAATGCAAATGGAAAATTCAACATTGCTTTCACATTTCTTTAACTGCGTCCATTCCCATGAGTTTAATAGGAATAGTGATTGGGCTTTTTCTCTGTGTACCTGCAAGTTGATGCATCTTTCCAAATCTCAGCGGAGACTTGATATCGGCCACACAGTGTAAAGGAATCCATCACATAGAAACTTGTGGTTTTATTTTAAATTGGTTTCCCAGTGAAATAAATTGTACTGATTATTCTGAGGTTCCTGACAAACTTAAAATTGAGATCTTTTTGCCTTATTGGAACAACTGAACAAGCACTATTTGTTCCCATCTTTGCAGTTTGGAGGAAAGTGGAATTTACATTTTGATATATAGGTGTTATCACAGTTGATGGATTACCCTTTTACCCCCTTGGTGATGTGGACATTCATGGGAAATGCCTAGAGTAGTAACATTCCCTACACCCATCTTGGTTGAAACAAAAGGCACTGCTTCTACAATGACTTCACTATACCCCTGTTTTCAGATTAATGTAAGCAGTTACACTAACACAGACCGAGAACAGGAGGAGACAAAAAACATCTCTATGTTTGAAGCTTATCATTCATTTCAGACCCTGAAAGTCAGCTTACGCTGGGCTCACCAGTTTTGGTACTTGTATCCACTTGTGAATGATTTAACCTATGATCTTAAGTTACCTACTCCACTACAAACATGCACGCGCACACACGCACACACCCACCTCCTCCACGAGTTTCTCCTCATTAGCCTTTTGCAGCTGCAGCTCTGCCTCCAGGATGCCTTTCCTCACCACCTCTGTCATGTTCTGCAGCAACTAAGCAGAAAAGAATCACTGCTTTATAAACGTAAATGTCATTAATGAAGAATAAGCCAAACCTGGAGTTCAACTCGTACCAGACATTTTGACATGTTTTTATAAAAGTATTAGCAATAAATAACCATTCATAAATTCCAGATGACAGTTTCCCTAGGCAACAATCTTATTAACTTTGAATGTAGCTATAACTTAAGTAAATTACTTTTTGAATTCTTGGATATTTATATCACCTAGGGCTGTTCGATGTAACGATATATCGGATGACGATATAAAAACGTCTATCGTTTCATTTTACGCTATTGTTTGTTTCGTGGTGTCGCAAAATAAACTGTTTACGGCAATATTTTTTTTCATCGTTTTGATGGTCACTGTAGTGGCTATATTAATTTCTTAAAGTTCTCTCTTTCTCTTATATTTAATATAACCACACTACAGACGGACAAGAGCTTGTTTTTATGGGTTGTCGTTAGCAACAACGACGTTAACACCACCGCATGTCCGCTTGTTTATTTTCCACATAAACCTTTCAGAATAAAGCTCAAGATCCTGTTGAGAATTTTCAAAATAAACGGAATCACGTGAAAAAGTATGCTGAGTAGGGATGGGTATCGTTTAGGTTTTATCCGATACCGGTGCCAAATCGGTACTTTTGAAACGGTGCCGGTGCTTAAACGGTGCTCGAACCGGTGCTTAAAGAATGGAGAACACAAACTTTGTCCAAAAACCTCTCATGTTCAGCTGTTTTTTTTGTAAAAAGATAACAATGTGTGCCTTTTCTGCAGCTATGTGGCATATATGGCATCACTCTTGGCTGGAAGCAGTGCTTAAACAATGGAAAAACCACAAACTTAAACCCTCTCATGTTTAACTGTTTCCCACTTTTTCTTTGGTCATTTTAGCCTTTTTGGCCAGGGTGAAGGGAGTATCTGCCATCAAACAAGAGGACAGCCGCATGTAGCTATGATGATGTTTGCTAGTTCACCTTACATGCATTAATGTAATAACGTGGTTAGCCTACTCAACGTAAATTACACACGAACAACATGAAGCTACTCACGCAGAGAAGAACGGCTGCTGCCATCATCATCCTCATCATTTCTGCTACACTGGCAGGGCTAGGGGCCAGGACTCTATTCTTCGGGTTTTGGGGGATGTTGCTCCGGGTCCGATAACTGGCAACCCACCCGACGTGCACGGTGTGAGGTCTCGCAGCAAGCTATCAAATACGGCGCATTTCTCGGCTTTTAAAAAAACCGCTATGCGTCGCCAGCTGTTTAATCGGATTCTTGGTGTTACCTCCTTTGACAGTATCACAGTATCAGCTTAAAGCACTTGTTGCAGGCTGCGGAGTTTGCATATTTTGCTGTGAAGTACAGCCAGACTTTTGACCGCTTCGCCTTGGACATTTTTAATCTGTAGCTCTGCTCTAACAGAACGTACGTACCTGGCCCCGCCTACTATCCTCGGAAACGTAAAATGATTGGCTAGAAGTGTATCACAGCTCAGGAAAAAAAAGCACCGAAATAAAGCACCGAAATGTGCGCTGCTTTTCGGTCTGGTTACTACCGTTTATGTCAGATGGCACCGGACACCGGTACCCATCCCTAATGCTGAGTATTGACGGATGAGAAGCAAAAAAAAAAAAAAAAAAAAAAGAGTCGTGAGGTGCTAAAAAATAAACCTTAGACTCAAACGTTAGAACAGGCTGTGTAATAAATACTAAGTGTAATAAGCGGCCGTTACAACTTATGTCTAACAATGTATAGTTTCATGCATTGGTTAAAACATTCGACTCCAGGTACACGATGCCCAGCTGGAAACACTTCACCTACCTTAGATTCACAGAATTTACAGAAAATATTAAATTTTTTGTGATTTATATTGTTATCGGGACGATAGATGTTTTATATCGGGATATGAGATTTTGGTCATATCGCACAGCCCTAATATCACATCAGCCTAAACTGTCTAGGATAAGGTTGAGCGATATGTACAATTTTTCCAACTGACATTCATCAGTCCAATAAATGATAGGGTCATGCAGGTGACTTTCTGATGGGCGGAGCAATGTAATCATGCACAGACTGATTTGCGTGTTTAGAACACAGAACAAGTCCAAACATAGAGGAACTAGCTGCCAAAAAATACAAAGCACCAATTTGGGATTTCCTTGGCTTTAAACCAGATGAAAGAGGTAAACCCAAGGATGTAAGGCGTGTGCCACTTTGGTACAGTTGGATATAAAATTTGACAACGAAAAAAGCCTGCACCTGCTGCATTATATGCACTATTAATATCGATAAAGGGAGATGAAAAATACTGATGAAGAATAGAGATGGAGTGTTGTCAGAACACTGGTTAAGTTTATTAAATTCACTCAGTTAAGTGATTTCTCATATATGCTAATCTGTGCAGATGGTAAGAGCACACAAGCTAGTTTACCCTCAAAGACCAGAGGTCTATTCACACATGCATGTGCAAAGCCCCAGAAAAAAGCTGCTGGCTTCTCAGCTTGCCCGGCTGAAATCATTGTTAACAGGAGACAGACAAAAGAAGTGCAGCTTTCAGTGACAACAGCCAAGAAGATGGCAGTAATGTAAAGGATGGATGCAAACGGGCGAGGGTTTCGTGAAACCGCTTTCTCAGATCAAAAGCAAGAGATCACTTTATTTCAGTGAATTTGTCACTTTTTAGATTTGTCACTTCATTAAGTCAAGTATCATTAGCCAAATGCTCCTTCAGTTCCCAAAAGCAAACAAGTAGAGAGTTACAACAGAGATAAAAATGGTTCAGATTTTTTCAAATCTATTAAAATCAGTGAACAAAAAGTAATGCAAATAAAAAGATATAACACTGCTATAACTTCAGATATAAAATAAGGCAGAAATATCAGAGATGTTTAGATGGTTAGTCAGTTTGTGTTAGTTGACAAACAATAGTGTGCTACCTTATAGCTAGCTGCAGATCTATGGTTAAGCTAATGTAAACAGATTGGCAGCTTTGCCAACAATACAGCAACAACTGAATCAGAACTGGGAACAAGTTATTAACTGCAAACACCATCTAAAGATTTTCATATATTCTGCAAACTGAAAGCAGGACTTACCTTCCCGTTCTCCTCTATGTCCCTGCCCAGGGCAGCTATTGTATCCACCAGGTCTGAAACATCAACATCATCTGTCACCATTCCCACAAAAATGCAGCCCTGCTCTGTCACGAACTCAGGGCCTGAGAAATGAAACAAACAGAAACAGAGGAAAGAACAACAGAAATGGTTAAAACAGTGTTTTGTTTCTTTTTCCAAAAGCCTCTCAGATAAGTAGAGGTACCCACCAGTGGAAAACAGGATGTCAGTGTCAAGGTCTTGCAGTTTCTTGAGTAGCTCAGTGTTAATTTTCTCCTGCTCCTGCTTCTTCCTGTTCTCATCCATTCCATTAGCCTGCATCTCATACCTGAACATCACAGCATCAATCACATCCACAAGTGTGAAAACTACTGAAAACAAACAGATTTCTGTCTTTTTGTCTTTAGCAGTATTCTCAAATTGTCACAAGCAATTTGAGAATACTGCTAAAGACCAAAAGACAGAAATTAAATATGCAACATTGATAGTTTCTCTTAGAGTGATGATAATTTAACTAATTAAACAGATAAAGGCTTTAGTTATGTGACACTGAGCTTCCTTTCTTCTCATGTCTGCTATGCTAGTGCTATGGAACAACAGCAAATTAGGACATGATAAGATGAAGGAATTTTAATAAATATGGTTGTCTGGCTTCATCCATCAATATCCATTGACCAGTGCAAAGAAATGCCCCACCACAGAGTTCCTTGGACTCGATGCTCGGCTTTCTGCCTTGATGGCAATAGACCTTAACTGCATACATGTGTCCCTTTCTTTACTATGTCCAGTCAGAGTGTGACCAACTTTGGCAGACTAATATCACTGACTTTAATTGATTTTGACATTAGCCATTTGCTTCTTTATCAGTATCGAGATTTGTAACAGCTGATTAAGAAAAATTTGAAAATAAAGTGGAAATGGAAGAACACCCCTTATCCATGTCATGAGTGTTGATATTGCATGGTTTTCCCATCGAGGGTACTCTCCAACTTCACTGTTGGCAGAACAGCTCTTTGGATTGGCACAAACACTACAACCAATCTGAGCAGAGTTGTGGGGAGTGTAAAAAATAAATAACTACACACAACAAATGTATTTACTTTGTGTGTCTGAAAGCAAAAAAAAGACAATATATCACCAAACATCAGTATTGTATTGGAATGGGTCTTACAAATGCTGTATCAGCCAGTCTCTACAAGTCATTAAATTACGGTTGTGGACTTCAGTCAAGTTCCTACAAGGACTAACAAATCATCTCACCTTGTCACTTACTAGTCAATGGAAACTGAGCCATGTATAAAATAACAAACATATGCACTGTCTTGATACAACTAAGATATACAGGCTGTGAAAAAGTTTTTCCAGATTTCTCATTTTTTGTGTATTTGTCATACTTACATGTTTCAGATCAATAAAAAGATGTTCATATCAAACAATGATAACTTGAGTTAATACAAAATGCAGTTTTTAAATAATGGTTTCAATTATTAAACAACAGAATCCAAATCTACTTGGCCTTCTGTGAAAAAATAACTGCCTCCTGAACCTGATAACTGGTTGTCAGGCTTTTGACATCCTGGATAAGTCGTCGATGCGCTCGTGGGATGATTCGCACGATGTGTTGTTATTTTGAGATTTTAGTCTTTTTACACAGGGCAAGGGCCAATAAAGGAAATCATAATTTAAAAACGATATTTTGTATTTACTCAGGTTATCTTTCTCTAATATAATCATTTAAATATATTATATTTAAGTGCTTTTTATATAGCACTGTATAAATCATTTTACGTCTTTGTTTTGATCTTACTACTACTACTGATTAATAAATATGCAAATAACATATTTAGTAAAGAACTTCATGTAAGCTGCATGCACCCTTACCGGACAACTCCCAGTCCAGGCCAGGCGAACTCGTTTATGTATCTGAGTGAGGGTGAACGTTTGTGTGTTTCCTCTCTGAAGTCTTCTCTGAGGGACATTGTGGAGCTCATTACAAATACCAGCTCTGTCATTTTCTCCACAATGGACTCAACATCCTCTTCCCGGGTCCCCAGAACTAGAAGGGAATGAGAAGTGAGAGTTGCATGTCTCCTAACTACTCAGGTGGTAGTTATCTGCTGATCGAACAGTCAGTGAATCGAGCCCTACCTGATAAAAAGTGTTTAGGCATAGATAAAAGCATTGCATAAATATGTATTGTGTGTCACATGTTATGCTGCATGTGACATCATTCATCATGACCGGTTTGGTGGTGGGTCGGTGATGATCTGGGGAGGCACAGACTTCTACTGGATAGCAACAGCAGCCTGAACACCAACTATTACTATGTCCTTTTTGTCAAATGATGTGGCATCCTTGGTACCCAGCCTGCATTTTCCCCCCACTGAGATCTGATGTGCTCTCTAATTGTTCTTCCCCCTCCCCCCTTTCCTTATTGAAGTGTATATTGTATATAAGTAAGAGCAGAATGTTGTAACGTGAACACAAGTTCATGTTACCTGCAGCTGTCAGGAGGGGACTGAAGCGTACGCAGGTGGCCTCGTCTTCAAGCTCCACCACATCTATTCCACTGGTGGGAACAAGTTCAGCCAGCTCTTCACCCAGCTACCCCAACAGAAAAAAAAATAGAAACAAAATACATATATATAATTCAGTTTGCTGAAGAAACAAGAAGGACAAGGGACCTATAGGAAAAGGTTCAGTTTAGACAAGCTCACAATTTAAACAATGTAAACTGGTACAAAGACAAAATATCAAATGTAGAAATTAAAAAATCTTTTTCTTTTAAAAAAAGATGTTGCTAGACAATATTGCATATAAAACAAAAAATGGCTGCAGCTCTAAATTTAGAAACATCCTGTCTCAGAGTGATGCTGAAAAACTAGTTCATACATTTATTACTTCTAGGCTGGACTACTGTAATTCATTATTACTGGACTGTCCTAAGCCAAACCCCTGAAAAGCCTTCAAAATGCTGCTGTACTGTCAGGGACTAGAAACAGAGAGCAGATTTCACCCACTTCGGCTGCTGGCTGAAAGTGAAGGTGGTTCTTGGGGTATATAAAAGTAGATTGGGTTTTTTCAGGACCCTCTTCTGTGGAACCAGCTCCCAGTTTGGATTTAGGAGACCATGTTTACTTTTAAGATTAGGCTTAAACTGTTTGTTCTTGATAAAGCTTATAGTTAGTGCTGGATCAGGTGGCCATGTATCCTCACTTATTTATGCTCCAACAGACTTAGGCTGCTGGGGACTTCCTGTGTCGCAGCAGATGGCTGTCCCTCCCTGAGCCTGGCTCTGCTTGGGATTTCATACTGTTAAAATCCATTTTTTTCATTCCTAGTGTCAACAAGTGTTTGCCAATAGGGGCTCTTCTCACTTTTGGGGTTTTCCCTGTACTATTGTAAGGTCTTTACATTGCAATATAAGGCACCTTCAGGCGACTGTTGCCTGGTCTGATCAGTTTTAACTGTAAAAATCACAAATGATCGTGAGTAACTTGATCCTTGGCATCACTGATGGTATAAATACATTATAATAGTGTGTCAGGCATTTTTTGGCATGCTTTGATTACTAATATGAGGCACAGTTGTGCCGTGTCCTCAAATCTTTCAGTGACCTTTCTGTGTGGAGTCGTGCGTTTCCTCTGTGCCTCCACAGGTTCCTTTGGCTTCCGTCCACCAGAGGTGGGAATTAACAAAGTACAAATACTTTGTTACTGTACTTAAGTAAAATTTTCAGGTATCTGTACTTACATGAGTAGTTTTTTTCTGACCACATTTTACTTTTGCTCCCTACATTTTTAAACAAATATCAGTACTTTCTACTCCGTAAAACAGACTCGCTACTTTTGGTTTGACACATTTTAAGGGGAGTTAGTTTTTGTTGCCACACACCGGAACGACCTCGGGTGTCCATACATTGAGGTTGTGGTACTTTGGCATCTAGCGAGTCCTACTGAAGAGGAATGAGCATAAAGGTAATGACTTTTCTTTAAGTGTCAGATCATTTCAAATGCAATTTCTCTACAGCTCAACAAACATCAGCAAACACACAAACTGTTTGTGTGCAGTTTGTCTGTGTTGCTAGCTAAAGGTCCAGCTGCTGTATTTCACAGGGAGAGAAAAGAAAGAGTCAACTTCTCTCAGATAAGAAAGACGGGACAGGAGAGAGCTTAGATTTAAAGGTAAGGCCTGCTCAGTGGGATTTGATAAACAACACTTTTAAAGCTTACATGTGTGATGTTTACAGATATTTTATTTTGAAAAGGTCGAATGTAAGGCGGAAGGAAATTAGTAGAAGAAAGAACGAAAAAATGTTATAGGAACAAGTTAGCGCTGCAGACTGTATTGCCGCTGCAAGCCTGAGAATTAAAGAATGGAACTGAGAAATACTGAAGGTGTCATCATTAATGCTTGAGGCATGCAAACATTACAACATGCAAGTCCTCATGTTTTAAAATCAGATACTGGGCTTGCACATGTGACATTTTCATATTGTGAAACATCCTGCAAAACAATGTAAGCTATACTAACTGTGCTATTTAAGGTTGCATGAAAATACTTGCTTAATAATAGTTTAGTGCAGGATAAACAGTTTAGTTTGTTGTACTGTGATGCAAAAACCCCCCGCAAAGAAACCCAGTGTGTGACTGGTGCACAGTGACTGTGGATTCATGGTCAGAGTTAGTTTACATCAAATGTAGCAGATTAATAGGAATTTTAGCTGATGATCCTTAGATCCACTGACTGAATTCCACCTTGATACCAACTTCATACTATCTAGAAAAAAGCCATCATAAACAGTGTAGTGTCAGTGTAATGGATCTGCCAGGACAACTCATGAAACATCTGCTGATATGTTGTTGAATTAAGTCGTGAACATCCGCAAAGAGCACAGACTAATCTACTGGAGCTCACAATAGAAATGATTGTTAGTGATGATTCTTTTCCCCACACTGAGCCATTACAACCAGTTTTAGGGTTCCCCCAGTTCCTGAATCCACTTTAACCCCTGACTCTGTAAAGGCAAAGTGACCCTCTACAGTGTAGCAACAGAAAATAATATATTTTTGAAGTTAACATAGGACAAGGTTCAGTTAGCTTTGCACGAATAGAAACCTCCCCCAAAGAGCTACTTTCTGACTTTGAGTATATTTCACACCCAGTACTTTTTTACTTTTACTTAAGTAAAGAAGTTCAATCACTAATTCAGCTTTTACTGGAGTAGTTTTTAACAGCAGTATTTGTACTTCTACTTAAGTACAGAATGTCCTTACTGTTGCCACCTCTGCCTTTCACTTTTGTTCTGGAATGTTAACTGGAAATTGTAAATTGACTGTGGATGTGAAGTAGATACAGTGCTCAAAGTGTGTAGCACTATATGAATATGTGGTTAAAATGTGACTTGTAGGTAAGACAACTGAGCATTGTTTAAATGCACAGTTGTAGTCAATATGGGTATTGCCAAATTTGAGCGCTTCAGTGCTCGGGTAGAGTAGAAAAGTCCTATGTAAGAACCAGTCCATTTGCTCTTTACCATTTGTCCATCTGTTGATGACCACAGTGTCTAATGGGTTGTGTCAAAGCTCAAATCATCTGAAATTGGTTTCAAATATATCAATGAGTCCACTGTACTGAGATGACCTCCATAAATAGAACACATCTGGGATGTGTCATCATAGATGTCCATCAGAAAAGGCTGCAACAACTGTGTGATGTCAAGAACTCTGAGGAATGTTTTTCAGCATCTTGTTCAATTTCATTCACGAAGATTTAAGGAAACAGGGGTCCAACCCAGTAATAGCAAAGTGCTCAGTGAGTGCATGATGGACACAACACTTCCATGTCACCGTTCACATTTTCTGTTTTAACTGATGTTTTAGACACTTACATGGGATAGTAGATTGGAGCAGCTTTGACTAGCATAGACGCAAATGTGCAAGCTACAGTACATGTTAAAAAAAGAAAAACACTCACCCATCTGTTGAAGGCATCAAGGACCTCTTTTTCTCCAGCACAGAAACTCTCACTGGATGCTAAACACACAATACAGAAGGAAGCGAGATTGATATCTGTGTATGGTGATCTTATTGTTTGGATGTCACATCTCAGTCATTTTCATTTTGATAGTTGATTCTTCGCAAGAGCAACAATGCATGTAAAGACTGTATGCTTTGAAGGAGGGAAACTTTGTTCTATTTTTTTAAGTGGTGTTGAGCAGGCTTTCACAGTTTTCCTTTGCCCATCAGCACCTTGTTATATCTAATTCACACAGAATAAAGGCAAAAAACACCTTTGAATACCAGACTTCAAAAAGTCAGGCAACTATTCCTGAAGATTAATTAAAGACATTATAAAATAGCAAGAGAGTTATAGAGAGTTCTGTTTTGCCTTATTTAGTGTATTTCAATGTTTTTCTATATTTTGAACTGTTATAATAAATTGCTCCAACTACTTCCTAATTGGCTATCAAAATATAAAGAAATAAGAAGAGGTGGGTCAAGACATTTTACAGTATCGCAAGTTCAATTCAGTTCAGTTGCTACAACTACACGTTTCTTTTCCAGCTATTTATTAATGAGTGACTTATGTATATATATGTATATATTGTACTATTCTTAGTTAGCGTATTGTCTGTCTTGTTAATGTTGGTTTATGTTGGTTTATAATGGAGCACTGTAACAAAAAAAAAATTTCCCCCAGGGATCAATAAAGTATTCTGATTCTGATTCAAGAGTTACATAGCGTTGTAGTTTATTAAAACAGAGGGCAACATTTTGGAGGACAGAGGAAGATTGATGCAGCAGGTCTACACCAGCAAGTAGAAGAAATGATGACGAAATGTCCCATTCCCAAGAAATGACAGTCCATTCATCATCCTCAAACTTTTCAACACCTTAATATCATTGCTAATGGGAGGTGAACTCAAATTTTTTTAAAATCACAATTTCCATACCACATCGCACATTCACATCCTCCATAGGTGACCTGTTGATTGATAGACTGTAGCTTTCAAACACTGGCTGCTCAAGTCATTAGCTGGCAATATTTGCCTTGCTGTGCTCAAGTTTCATAATTATTCATCTGTCTTAAATACTGTCTTATCTTATCCTTAGTCTTTAATAGAACTTCTGATTTATTTTTGCATTTTGAGAGCATGAAAGTCTTACCAGTACTTTCTTCTTGGTTAAATTTGAATAGCACCACAGGAGAGTCTGATTCATCCTCAACCTGTAGGACAAACAAAGATACAGGTCAGGCATCCTTACTCACATCGTAACTTTTTAACATGGAGAAACAGTTAACATAAAATGAAAGGGTGCAGTGTAAACACATATTTAAGCATCAACGCTTGGTGTCCATGGTTTCTGAATGTATTATGTCTGTGGTAATGGATGGACATAGAGGTTCTGTATTACTTATCAAGTAATATCTGTATGGTGGTGGTAAAGTGAGTCCTTGTCTCACAGTATGAAGCAGCCAAATCAAAGCTCCAGCTTAGAGGATTTAGCTGGTCAAATAAACTGGCCACTAAACGAACACTTTGACCAATAAAGAACTGGTTAAATGTTGGTTTAACTTGATGCCAGCTAGTTTTAACTGGAAACATGATGCCATCATGAATGGATGTATACTAAACAAATGAATAAAAAAAAAAAATAAGATGGACTGAAACACTCAGCTTTTAGTGTTTGCTGACGGCTTGGTCCAAAAAAGCAGTTTATATGCAAAACATCCTGAGGAGATATTTTGCATATAAATGCATTGGCTCCCTTTAGATCAGTGGTCCCCAACCTTTTTTGCACCACGGACCGATTTAATGTCAGACAATATTTTCACGGACCAGCCTTTACGGTGCCATGGATAAGTACAACAAAATAAAATGATAGGACCAAGACGAAAACTGTGGTATTTTGTAAATATAATAATAAACGTCAATTCACTGTGTAATTGTGTAACTTTATTAGCAGCGTCCTCCTAAAAATGCACCAACAACATTGAGAGTAACATCCTCCTCTCTGCCCCTTAATGCTCTCTGGTTGCTATGGTAACGCACAAATATTTCTTTCAAAATAAGACACACAACGACAACACAGGAAAAGACCCAGGGAAACCGAGTTAATGAACACCCAAGCCTCAATTCTTGCGGCCCGGTATCAAACAACTCAGGGACCGGTACCGGTCCGTGGCCTGGGGGTTGGGGACCACTGCTTCAGGGCAGCTAATGAAGCTAATGAGAACTTAATCAGTTCCCTGCAGGTCAAGTAGAACCAGTGGTCCATGGTTGCCATCAAATGATCATTATAGAACTCCGAGTATTTACATTGCTCCAATATCACTGTAAAACCGTTTTTTAAAAGTCTGAACTGCACAGCTGGACAAAGCAGTTCTGAGAATATCATAATTAGTTCAAATATGCTTGGGTTGTTAAAGACACATTGTTCTTTTATCCAAGTGAAATTTCAAGGCATGGGTGAACCCCTTCAATCTGGCAGAACTGGCCATTCATTTTTATATTATCCAAGTTTTTCACACCTCCAAACTAGGGGCAGTAAGTAGATAGGGTTTTGTTCTCAGCTTGTATCTTCTTTTAAACAATAATAGCTATCATATTGCAAAACCAAGGATGCCTCAAGGAAAGCTCTGAGAATGTTAGTAAGTAGTAGAATTCATCTCAGTCCTTTATACAACATGCCTCATTCAGACCTATTCATAAAGGAACTTTTTTCTACACCTAAGTGCCTTTTACCTAATATTCACACACCTTACTTGCTCTACAGCAACCCCAAGGTTTAGAAGGACAAAGGTAAGGCTTTCAAAACTAAAAACATTGAACCAACTCTCAAGCAGTATGAGGGTCTGGGGCTATTCTGCTGCTAGTGGTACTGATACATTGCACAAAATCAGCTGAATAATGAAGAAAGGGGGCCTACCTTGAAAATCTTCAACTTGACTCCAATCAACAGCTAGACAATTGAAACTTACACACTAGGATGTTCCAACAGGATAGTGATCCCAAACTCATATCAAAACTGTTTTTGGAATAACCAAAGCAGGCTAATATTAAGCTTCTGGCCTTTCTAATGCCCTGACCTCAGATTTGTCCATTATACTTAAAAGCTGTGTCTTTGCCAGAAAACCAAGCCATTAAAATGACATATTTATGTGTATGCATATATCTGAGCCCTTATGTGCACGTTTGATTAGAGGAAATATCCAATTAAAACTTGTGCACCCAAGTTATTAAAGTTGTATGCTGCATAATCTCCCATCATGAAAAAAGAACAGTTCAAAGAAATAATTAAAAGCCCAAATTTATATGTAAACTCCTGACAACAACCTCATAACTGAGGATTATACATCATGTTTAACAGCTGAAGAAATACCTTATTTACTACTTATTTCTGCAAGCTTAGTGGACTGAAAAAAGTTTTAGTTCTAGTAACATCAGTACTCTTACATCGACATGTATTTAAGTGCCAAGTAAAGGCACGGGTGCATGACTCAATTATTTTTTTCAAATGCAACAACTCGAGTGTAGAGAGGCATTCTCTGAAGTACCTCAAAGAACATCCCTGAGTTATGAATAACATAAACAATTAAGAAGAAGTGGTCCATCCATTAGCCAATGAAGACTATTGAGCTGATGTAGGTGAAGGGAAATGGTGATTAATAGTAAGAAGAAAATCAAAACAAGAAAAGGGAGGACAGAGGGGACTGGGGAAAGAGTAGAGAGGAAGATGGGCAGAGGCTTGGCCCCACGTACAATAGACAGCATGAGAGAACCCAGAACATCCTGCAGAGAAGCCCTGGAGATGGGTGGAATCAGTGACACCACACCCTGGAACCAAAGTAACCCACACTGACTATAACTACAGTTATACAAACATACAAAAAGGAAGTCTCTCTCTCTCACACACATATGCCCATAGAGCTCATTAGCAGAACACTAAATGTTCACTGAATCTGTATAGACTGTGATTTTATGCTTCGTATCGCTTTTACTTTCCCACGCTGTCAAACTCAATTCTGTCAACATCACTCTCTCCGAGTCATTTTCTTTCCAGCCTTATGAAAGTAATCAGCCTCTGTTCCACGTGTTTTAAATCTTATTGACCATTTGATCAAGTTGCCACAAATAACCACAATTTACGAAAAAGACTAGAATGAAGTCATGGACCCACTATTAATCAAGTGTGCCATCACATGAGCCAAAGTGTGAAAAAAGGTGTGGTTTATTGCCACCAAAAGTTTCAGGTGAGAACACCCTGTCATGCAAACTATGTGAACTTCTCGTTCAAACCATCTGTCTTAGAAAACATGAACAGTGGTGTCCTCAAGTGAGTGACCTTTATCCTTTGAGTCCTTTGAAACAGAAAACGATTATCTTTTGTATCTTTCAAGATGAACTTTTTATTTCCACTGAGTTGATGTGAACAGCACAGGTTTTGACCCAAATATCATCCAACTATCTGTATCAGTCGCTAGATGTTATCACTTTGAAAGAGCCAAGAGCTTCCTCTAATGTAAAGGTTCGATATAGTGGGTCATACTGGGGAGCCCATGGCACATTCATGCTTTTGTCTATAGAAATCCTCGTACTTAAAATATGTGGCAGTAAGGCAGAGGGCTAACAGTGTGCAAATCTGATCAGGGATAAAGCTGGTGTGTTGTGTAAGGAGCTGTCTTGCTGTATTTGTCTTTATTTGACAGTCTGCACTGCCTCTGTTGTGGTTATACAAGTAAAAAGTGAGACACCATGAATTCATCTGGATTTTTGTTTGCTGGTGAAGTAGAATTTTTTAATGTGATAGGTGTTCTGCCACCAAGGAGCTGCCTCAGTGATGGATGAGTCACCTTCCTCATCCTCCTCCTCTACTTCCTCTATTATATATCACTAGGATTAAGAAGGTCCGCAGAGTATTCCGTTTACTGTCTAACAATATACTTATTTGAAGTCAGGAGCACTCCACCCTGTCATGGGAGCTATGTGAACTTCTGCACTATACACAGTGTGGTCCGGTGTCCACCATCCGGTTACCACCATGACAGGTGGTTTGTGGCTGCAGCCCAGTGCAGCAGCCTCAGCAACAGAGGTGCTGCACATGATTCATTTGAACTCAATGTCCCTAGTCTCCCTTGGAATGCCACCTCTCCCTTTAGAAGCTCTGCCTAAGGTGCAAATTGAAGATCTCGGGACCAGGGCCTCTGCTCGGCATTCCCAGACCACCCTCACTATATGTTTAGGTGTGCCAGGTCTGTCCAGCATCCTCCCCCACCACCTAATCCAACTCAACATCAGTGGTGGGGGAGAATGCTGATCAGTTGACAGCTCAGCTCAGCCCCTCTCTTGGACACCCAAGTGTCCTGGTGCCACATGTACTCATGGACACCTTTAGGTTCTAACACGGTATTTGTTATGGACAAAGTGTGGTTTGCACAAGAGTCCAGTAACAGAACATCACTCAGGTTCAGATTAGGCAGGCCATTCCTCTCAGTCACGCCCCTTCCTCAGGTCTCACTGAGTCCCCAGGTGAAGCACTCTCAAGCACCCCACCAAGGGTTTTCAAGGTCGGGTACTGTGAACTGTCAGCTAACCCCCTTGTCCACTGGAAAAACCTCCAATATACAGGCAGCAAGGTGAGGGGATACCAAGATACCCACCCGAGCCCACTGCCTCTCACAAAGGGCAACTCCAGACTGGGACATAGTCCAGCCCTCTTCAGGAGACTGGTTCCAGAGCCTAAATCCTGTGTTGAGGTGAGTCCAACTATATCTAGTCATTATCTCTCAACCTCACACACTAGCTCAGGCTCTTTCCCCACCAGAGAGGTAGGGAAAGAGCGTCCTGCAGGTGGTAAGCACACAGGAGTGTGGACCCATGTCCCTTCTTCAGGCTGCCAGGCCCCATGGGTTGAGGCCTGGCCACCAGGCGCTCTCCCTCAGCTACCCTGCACGGGCTTGGCTCCAGGTTGGGGGTTCGGTAACTCCATCCTGGGAAGGGTAAACGGTTCCCTTGATCTTACACTCATACGGGTCTTCTGTAATGCTCTTTGTCTGGCCCCTCACCCAGGACCAATTTGCCATGGAAGACCCTACCAGGAGGCAAAAGCCGCCTGACAACTAGCCCGTGGAATACACAAAACCATCTTCATGTTGGGGGTCACTAATCACATCCTTCAATAATGACTCATGCCACTTACCTGTGTGGCATCTCGCATCGTGCGTTATGAATATTCCACGTTATATTCAAAACAAACAAAGAAGAAGAACATTAAAACAAATCAGTGTTTAATATGTTACAAAAAAGTTGAAATATGACAAATTCATATCCAAACAACTAATAACTTGCGAATGGAAAGTGTCACGACAAGACTTCCGTCTCTCTAGCAACCTTCTCCACCTTATGTAGTGTTCCCAGGTCAACCGAGAGACATAATTTCTCTCCAGCATGTCCTGTATCTATCCCCTCGGTGGGACATGGCCAGCCTGAACACCTTACCTAGGATGTGACTGCCTCAGCTGGCTTTTTTGATGTGGTGGAGTAGCAGCTCTACTTGGGGCCCCTCGTGAATCACTCAACTCCTCACACTATTGCCTAGGGAGAGCCCATCCACCTTTAAAAAAGCTCATATCGGCTTCTATCCACATTCTCATTGTGTTGTCTTTAAAAGAACTAACAACAATAGTGTTAACAAAAAGATCAGACTTTTCAACAACAATGCAGAGAGCTGCATAACATTTATGACACAGCTATTTACCCAAACTGACCATCAGTTAAAATTAACAATGAGATTAAACAACTAGTATGTGTGACCATAGCAACGATCAGATATCTAGTCAACTAGTCGTGTACAATCCTACTGTGCATCCTAATATTTAATTTATCCCTTACTTTTGTCTTATTCAAATTTTACTGGCAATTTATGTCACATTTAAAAATATATATATTTTATTCAGTTCTGAGCTAATAAGATTCAAAGGTTGCTTCCAATTTTCAGCATTTCAGCATTCAGGATTTCAGCAGATCCCAAGATATATATATTTTGTTTAAATCACACATTTTACAAATAATTATTATACATAAAGACCTGGCCCTAATACACCATAATAGGGATGGACCGATCCGATATTACGTATCGGTCTGATACTGACCTAAATTACTGGATCGGATATCGGAGAGAAATAAAAAAAAATGTAATCCGATCCATTAAATATCAGGAAAGCATCTCACAAAGCTTGCGACACGGCGTAACTCAGCGGCTGTGGTCTGTGAGACCTGTCGGCGGTCTGGTTGAGCATTTGGAGCCTCGCTACCAAACCGGCATTTCATCTCCGAGAAAGTTATCCCAGCGAGAAGTAAAGAAAGTGTGTAAGTTCATCTCTGAATGTTAGTAAAGCATTCCCACGTTAAGCTTAACAACTGATATATGGAGCGACTGCCTCTTCTCTCTCTCTCCCTCTCCTGTTGCTACTGCAATCATGAAACTGATCAATGATCAGCTGATCGGTGATAATGAGTGATAATGAGAACCTTCACAGACATATCAGCTGATCGGCTTTTCTCTCTTGTTTGTTTTTGGCCCACTTTGCACCAGAAAGAGGAAACCAGCGGCTAAACAACAGCAGCACGTTTAAGCTTGATAAACTGCTGTTAGATTTTATTTAATATTACTTTCCACACCAGGATCCTTTTCTACGTAGCTGACGGCTGGTAACTGTGCAGGGGCGGGTCTAGCAAAGTTTAGCCAGGGGGGCAGTTAGGCCATTAACAGGGAAAGGGGAACACAAAGACATACTTTTCTTTCTTATTCTCATTTAAAATGTCTGGCTTTTAATAAATAATTATCTGAATCTTACACCCAAAGTCTTTTATCTGATGTAAAATGTATAGAAGTCCATTACTGTATATAGTAACTATAAAGTCTAATATATCCTAGTAAGCTATAGTACTTTTTCCTTTGGGAAGGTACCATCTGTGCAGTCTGCAATTCTGTTGAAGAGAGATGTTGAATCTATTTAATTATTCTTGAAAATAATTGATTTCTGTGCAATTTCTTTCACACTGCATCAAATTAAAGTTGATTATGTTGATTAAGCATCATGAGGTGGAGGGTGGGTTGTGGCTCTCTATGTTTTTTTCTTTTGCTGGCAGCCCTATTAGTTAGGTTGCTAAATTTTTCTGCTAAGTACTCTTTAAAATACCAGAATAGGGAGGATGGTGCAGGTTTAAGTTTATTAGATTGATCAGTATTGCTGAACTATGAAATATTTTGGGTGCAGTGTATTTTTTGCATACAGGTATAACTAAATAGCTTTAGTGTTTTTTTTATTAAACTTGAGTATGAACTTATACAAAATGCAGCAAGATATTAAAAAACTGTTTTATTGATTAAAAATACACTTTATCTGATTCAGATCGGTATCGACAGATATCTAAATTTATGATATCGGTATTGTGTCGGACATAAAGTGGTATCGTGCCATCTCTACACCATAATACACACCCATCTTCACATCTTTCATCTTAAAAGGTATTTTGTAATCCTGTTGATATTTACGGCTCATCTTGGACAATTTTTGTCACACACTAATTTAAATACTTTAACAAACTATTACTTCAGCAAATGATATTCAGTTTCATCATTGCAAACTGCAAAGTTGTGGCGTTTTTTTTTTTTTGTTGTTTGCTTGTTGCGTTGGGTTTTTTACTGAGGTGCATCTGGATATTTTGTAATCAGTTGCTAAAAACTAATTCCTTCATATTCATTAACAATACTCGTAGAAGCCATCCTTCATTTTGAGCTAAGTCTGCACATTTTAGTATGGTACACATCATGATTAATTTCAGAACATGAAAAATTCACCTACCAATGTTTTGATACAGGTTAGAGATTGTACTTTCTGAAGGAACAGCTGGCTCTAGGAGGGAGACAAAAAGAAGTCAAATGTGCAAACATGTCATGCATTCATTCCTGAAATAAATGTAAACTTTTAACCAATCGCATTAGGACGCTCTTCCTGTAAACAGACAGTTGATTCAAGCGAGCAGTTGTTTCAAGAGCAGACAGTAAATCACTGTGATTGCAAAGCAATCATGTGTGTAATCATGCACACAAAATGATGGCTTCTTTGTGTTCTACACATGGAGGTTGTTGATATGGGGAGGAATGAAAATGAATTATTGGTTCTTTTACTAGTTAGCTAACATAAACTAATGTTAGTCTATTGAACCAATGAACCGATCTTGTGACATATAACGTTCTGTACTGACAGAAGACTCAATACTGAATCACAGGCTCCTCCATGGTCCTGAAACTGTACAATGGCTATGCAAAATAAAGGGCATTGGTTGTAACTGTGTTTTCTGCTTTGACAAACCAATAAGGCAGTCTTTAAGATGACACGTTGACATTTTATATAGGAAATGTAGCTATGTACATATCCTAGACATATTTCCTATATTAGTAATCCTCACCAGAGTAGTAGCGTGTTTTATCTTCTGAACAATTCCATTGTGACCAAGGTACTGTAGGGACAGCCAGAGAGGCAGTGCCCGTAGCTTCTCCACAGGGTGGCTGGAAGTTAAACCTGCTGCCAGGGACTGGGAGACACAGTACAGAGACGCAGAGCAATGAGGGAGTTGCACAAACATAATTCCCAAGACCCCACTGGATCACCGAAGATGTCACAAAAGTGATCACAATATGCACTCTTTCAGTTTCTCTGAAAATGATGTCAGCCCACCAGTGCAGGGTCTTCATGTCTGTAGAGGGTGACGGCAGTCACAGCCGGCAGTCCTAGCCACGGACCTGGTGTCAGTGTCATACTGTCACTTCTGGTGGCTGCCTGCAGAGACATGAAAGACCAACACTGATACACAGAACTTACATTAACACTTACAAGAATGTCTCATACATTGGAGGCTGTGGGAAGGAGAGAATCAAGTGCTCTTATTTCTGTTGAGTTTCTAAACTTTCACTTGTATCTTCAAAACAAATTAAAGGAACACTTTTAATCAGTGAAGAATCAAGACATTAAAACTTTTGGGATATATCTGGTAAGTAGTAAAAGGGGTTGGTCATCAGTTTCAACTGCTCTAGTGTTAATGAACACAACAAGTGCACTAGAGGGGCGACAATGAGACAACCGCCAAAGCTGACTGTTTTACATTTGACTGGGGTCAGTGTCACTACTGGCAGCATGAGATGGTATCTGGATCCTATGGAGGTCCCACGGGTAGTCCAACACCTCCAATTGCCAAAAGATTGTCATAGAATAATAATAATAATAATGGATTGGATTTATATAGCGCTTTTCAAGGCACCCAAAGCGAAGGTAGTACTGGTAACAGTAAAGTGCCCAATATCCTCTAGTTTGCCCTGTGCTCACTGCCTGGCAACATGAATCCTAACTGGCATTTACCATAGGACACAAGAACGGGAAGGTCCACCATTCTTCTGCACATTCTTTAATTCCTAACACATTACCTTGTCCTCTCATTTGACTCTAGACTAATTTGATATCCAAAGGAGTTCATTATTAACTAAGAAGGCATGGTACCCAGGAACCATGACTGTAAAACAAAAACAAATCCCCTCATGCAGGCCGCAGGAGGTGATTTGTGCAGATGTGCTGTGTTTGCTTTTACCAAGCGTGGTTCTGTGCATTATGACAAAAAGCATCTCCACTTTGGTCTTGTCTGTCCAAAAGGTAGTTCTAGAAGTTTTGTGATTTGTTCAGGTGCTGTTTTACGACCCTAACCCATGTTCTTTTTAGTGAGATACTAAATACTTTTTTCCTGAGAATCCTTCCAAACAAGCCATTCTTGTTCTTCAAGTGTGCCTTCATTCTTGTAACTTTAAGCAGTTCTCATGCTAACTGAAACCTGTAGACTCAGATGTAGCTGGTTTTATGGATGTGTTTTTTTGATTTTTGGCAGACATACCCTGACCTTGATGTGAATTTGCTGAAACATCCACTACAGGGAAAATCAGCATCTGTTTTCGAATGTTTTGCACTTGTGAATAATCGTTGTCACTGTAGCATTATATACTTCAAACTGTTTGGAAATGGCCTTCCTGGCCTGATGGGCAGCAACAATTGCTTCTCTAAGATCACTGCAACACACATCTAAATGCTCCAGCCATGCAAACTGCCAAAACCTCTACTTTTATAGAGGTGGTCACACTTGGTGATAATCAGTTAATCAACTGCATTTGATTATCAACACCAGGCTACTACTTAGCTTATTTCATATAGAAGCAACGATGTACTTTTTTTTTTTTTTCTTCACACAGTTTCTTTATCTTCTAATAATAGAGCCTGGTAAGGAATCCGGTAAAAAAATTTTTTATTAAGTCCTGATATGTAAAACCTTTGAATTTCAATGGAGTGTGCTTTCTTTTTTTACAGTTGTAGTATAACCCCATATTGGATAGATTTTAATATAAGTTTACCATGATAGAAGAGGTGACCTGACCCAGTGCTAGGGTTGCCAGATTAACCCTGAAAAAGAAAACACATAATCAGCTAACATTACAGCAGCGATGTAAATTTAAAAAAAACAACTCCACCTTTTCTTCAAGAATTAGTGGCAAAGAGCAGTGCAAACCAAGCTTTTGCTATAGTTGTACAGGTAAGAAAATGGATGAAGACAAGAGAGTTAGACATAATTGGGATCACGTCAATACACAGCTAGATTTCTGGAACCGGTCTCCTGAAGAAGAGCTCAATTTTGTTCTTTTGAAGTTGTCTTTGGTGAGAGGCAGCAGGCAGGCGTGGTTTGGTTTGGTTAGGCCACGAATATAGGCTTTCAGTCTGCCTCAAAGCAATTCTGGCAAACCATCAGGGGGAAGTGTTGCTCTACTTACCTGTCTATTTTTTGCAGATGACGTGGTTATGTTAGCCTCACTAGGCAAAGACTGGAGAACCTCCAAGTCTTAGGCCATGGTTCTCAGCTGGGAAAGGATGGAGTACCCTGTCTAGGTTTCTGGGGCTTTATTCAAGAGTAAGGAGGGAGTTGAGTGAGAGACAGATAGCAGAATTGTACTGATTGACTATGGTGAAGAGTGAGCTGAATGTGAAAGTAAAGATGACAATTCACTGATTGAGCGACTCTCTTCCCTCTGATATGTCCTTGAGCTCTGGGTATTGACTGAAATGATGATATTGCAAATACAAGAAGTGGAAATGAGTTTTCTCAGAAATGTAGTTGAGCTCTTCCTTGGAGAAAGGGCTAGTGATAAAGAGCTCGTCCATTGAGAAGGGGCTTAGAGTGTGGAGAGCAAGGAGCAGTTGGGGTGATTTGAACGTATGACTGGGACGGCTCACTGATGTCAAATGTTTCACACATGTCCGTGAAGGTTCACAGTCATCCAGGTCATGGTAGTCTATGCCCAGAGTCAAGTCTGAGCATATCTGCTTAGACTGCTGCCTCAACAATAACCCACATAACCTGACAGATAGTGTTCGGATTGATCCAAACAAATTGGTTTCTTTTTTTCAGCTGCTTGGCAGCAACCAAGTATCATTTTTGAGCCACCATAATATCACAGAAGCTCGAAAATGTACTTTGCATGAATATAAAATCAGTCTAAACATCCATTTGAAATTGTTTTGTTTTTGCAATCCATCTATTTTAGAGGTTGACAGGAGCTACCCACCCCTCTACATGAAGCCACATGTTGTACTGATCACACAGTTCCTTCAGTCGACCTAACTTGTCTGTGTGCCCTGCTCCAGGGGTACCTGAAAAATTAAAATAATGGATAAGTGGAAGAGAATGGATGGTTGGATGAATGGAAATATACCAAAAACATATAATTAAGTCACAGAAGTACATATTCAAAATTCTGAGTATTCTCTGTATTCTGAATTGCTGTTTTACCATCAAATGTATCATCTTTAACTCTTTAAGCACAGACATATACAAAGTGCAATGTATAAACGGTGGCTGTCCTTTACCTGCATTGGCAATCAGCAACAAAGGAAGCTTCCCTGCATTTATGTCCTCTTTGATGAGTTTTTCCAACAGGGCAACATCCTGACGATGACAAAAAGGATCCAAGCCAAAATAGTTTTTATCTAAACTACCTGACAGATAGGTGTATGTGTTTTTCTAATCTGTGTTCTCCTACCATTTGGTGTTGGGATCCAAAGAGGGTGTTGCATGGCACTGTGCACAAACTGGAGAGAGGCAGGCCAAGCTAATGATACAAACACTGGCATGAAAATCACTATCTATTGTGTATTCAACTGGATGAAGTACAAGAGATCCTATATAATGGTAATACTGTCCTTCCACCCCCCCCCCCCCCCCCCCCCCAAAAAAAAACAAACAAAAAAAACCAAAGGAAAAATGAAGGAATAAGTCTGAAGTGTATAAGTTACAATATTATTATTTCAGGTTTGATTAAAAAAAAAAGTGGAATCAAAGGATAAAAGCAGTGTCATCTCTGGTGCCTTTCCCCTCAAAGCAATCATGCTAGGTAAACACATTGTTACATACATTGACAAAAAATGTAAGATTAATCACCCCAAAACTAAAGGAATAGTGCTCTACTTCTAAAATTAGTTGGTAGTGTAGGATTGGATCTGCCATTACCGTGACTTTAGGTGTATTCCTATAAAGTATTTACACACGCCTTTTTTAAAGCTCGTGTGTCCCAGCCATCCTACCTGGCTGCACAGATGCTGTCCGAGACCAGGCCTGCAGGAGGCACTCTGATAGATGACTGGCTGCCTGGTGTTTAGGACCACATAACCCTCAGTGGCATATTCTTCATAGCGAGCGTTGATAACGAGCCGGCACACTTTTACAAGGCCATCCCTGTCATCCTCATGAAAGCAGGTAGACCCATTCTCATACCTGAGGAACAGATGAGCAGCATGGATGGTTGGACAGTGCAAAAGGATTAAAGTAATAGTCCAAATAAGCAAATTTCATTATGAGAAATATTTCTGTTGTTTTGATTCAGCAATGCGCCCCAGGGCAGCTGTGGCAACAATGTAGCTTGCCATCACCAGTGTGTGAATGTGTGGATGACTGAATGTAGTGTAAAGTGCTTTGGGCTCCTTAGGGACTAAGTAGAGCGCTATACAAATACAGGCCATTTATGACGCTATGAGAAAGACTTGATAAAGCCAGGTTAGGATGAGAACACTTTGAGAGTGTTCATTGAGAAATATAGAAAAGGTGATAAAGAGCTGCACTGTGCTGTTGTAGATCTAGAGAAAGCATACGATAGGGTGCCAAGAGAGCAACTGTGGCAGTACATGAGGAAGTCAGTAGTGGCAGAGACGTATATATGAGGCCGGTACAGGACATGAAATGAGGACAGCAACACAGTGCTGAGATGTCTAGTGTTACAGATGGGTTCAAGATGCGAGTGGGATTACATCAACAATCAGTTCTGAGCCCCTTCTTGCTTTCACTGGTGATGGATAGGTTAACACTTGAGGTCAGGCCGGAGTCTCTGCGGTGTTCGCAGATGTATAAGAGAGCGTGGAATGGTAGAGATAAAGTCAATAGAAACAAGACAAATATATGCGGGAGACAAGTATAAGAGTGAAGCTGGATGAGTTTAAATACCCGTGGATAACCAACCGAAGCAATAGACAGTGCACAAGAGAGGTGAAGCAGGGAGTGCAGGGAGGGTTGACTGGATGGAGACGAGTGAAGAACTGTTAAAAATTAGATGCTAAATATAACGGCAGTATATTAGGACTCTGTTCTATATTGGCATATTTTTAAGATTTTATTTAAAAAAATAGCAAGCTCATTTGCATGAAGAGGGGAGCTGGAAAGGTGTCCTCCAAAACATAATGTAGAGGTGCCCCTGGTGCCTTCCTTGTCAGGCCTTGCAAAATCAAAACTTGCTTTGTAGAAACAATATCAATTCAAACAATACTTCTTATTCTTCTGTAAATATTTCATGAAGTCTGTAGTGAAAAGGAATTGGTCCTGTTATTATCAGTCTGAAGAAGTCACCAAGTCAGCATGTTTGTAGACCTCATTTTCAGAAATCTTTTAATAATTAAGACAAGATGTCATATGGCATGTGCATGATGGTGATTTCCACAGACACACAGCTGCAGGGTCATACCTGAAGAGCCTGCAGAGCCACAGGGTGGTGTCAGACTGGATCCGAGTGGTCAGCTTTCGCAGTTGTTCTTTGTCCATCATTGAGATGTAGGCTGCCAGGCTGTGACCCAGCAATGCCATCTGACCGTGTTCACCCACATTCTGCATCCTGTTGAACACAGCACTTTCTGATGAGCCTTTTCTGATTAGCCTTGTGCGGACTATTATTGTGAAATGGCGGTATGTAAATAAAATTGACTTACTTCTGACTGGGTTTATCCTCTTCATCCTCCTCTTCATGAATAAGGTTATGAACCAGGCGCAGTACAGTGGCAACATCCTGACCACTGCACAGGAGACATGAGGAACAGTTCTCACAGTTCATATCAAATGTACTATAATGTACTGAAGTGAGTGGAGCAAAATCTAAAAGTCCAACAACAAAGCGTTCCCTGTCAGCTTCTCTCTATCCCTCCCTTTATATTCACTTTGAAACTTGTTGAGAAGTAGGACTTATCTTTGCCTATTCAGAAAATATTCTGCCGTCTCTCGTTTCCAGTGCTGATTCACTGGTATTGCTGGTATCAGTTCAGTGACTTCAAAAAAAATAAAAATTTAAATCAGGATGCACAAGTTTAAATGTATTTTTTTCTCTGATCCACACAGACTCAACACTGATAAATGGAGTGCATCTGGAAAATATTCCCAGTGCTTGATTTGTTTCACATTTAACCATGCTACAGCCTTTCTCTAAAATGGATTACATGTTTTCCGCACACAAAATATGTCTCTGTACATTCCTGCATCGTTCCTGCTGCCCCACAGCATGATGCTGCCACCACCATACTTCACTGCAGGGATGGTTTTGGCAAAGTGTCGAGCAGTGCCTGGTTTCCTCCAGTCAGGCTGTCATGTGTATTTTACTGAGGCTTGGGTTCCATCTGCCCCCTCTACCATACAGACCTGACTGGCAACAGAAATGGCTATCCTCCTGGAAGGTTCTCATTTCTCTACAGAGCAATGCTGGAGCTCTGTCAGAGGTCCAGCTGTAGGAAGAGTCCTGCTGGCTCCAAACTCCTTCATCATGGAGGCCACTGTGCTCATTAGGGCCTTTAATACTGCAGAACTTTTCTGTAGCCTTTCCCAGATCTGTGCTTTGATACAATCCTGTCTTAGAGGTCCTCACACAACACACTGGACTTTATGGCTCAGTTTGTGCTCTGATATGGGACCTTATACTGACAGGGGTGAGCGTTTCCAAATCATGTCCAGTTAACTGAATTTATAACAGGTGGACTCGAATGACAAAGGCAGTGAATATTTATGTTGTTTTTTTATTTTTAAGAAATTTGCAACAATTTCAAGCAATTTTTTTTCACATTGTCATTATGTATAGAGGTTTACATTACTACATTTTAATACATACATCTCATAAGGGTAACACGATAAAATGTGGAACAAGTGAAGCACTGTGAATTCTTAACAAACGCAGTATTGTGAAAAAAGAGGATTCCATGTTCTTTCTCCCACATTAACAAGACAATTAGAATTTACTTCTGTATATCACAACTGCCAAGAAAACAATCTTCAACCTGAACTGCCTGTGTGTGAATATGAGTGTATGTGTTTTTGTCGTGTGTGTGTGTGTGTGTGTGTGTGTGTGTGTGTGTGCGCCTTACTCTCCCTGAAGGGGTCCAGGGATGCAGCTTCTGCTGAAATGCTGTCTCTCTGTTGCTGCCTCCGGCTCTCTAAATAAACAAACAGATTTTGCAAAGTGTTACTTTGCTTTCCGTGTTGTAATATTCTGCCCTGCAGTTGACTGTACTCTGTATCTTAAAAATAAAGGTCATTCAGATATGAAGTAGTTTTATATCTTTTTATTATGGCATTAAATGTCAATACAAACGCGTTTTAGTGCAGCAGCAGGTTTGTGTAAGTGCAGTTATCATTTTACAGCCCAGCAGCTCAACATTATGATGAGTTTCCAATGTCCACAATTAAACTTTCAAACCCAAAACAAGAATCTACCTCTCTATATTCCAATAACTCAGACTTGTATGTTGCGGTCCCATAATGCATTGCATTGGTGAGGTCACAATCCCTAACTCAAGATAATTGCTTGGTAGTTTGCTGATATTATTTTGTACCTGCAGTGTGATGAACTCTTACCTCTGTTCCTCTCCCAGGAACCTCATGGCTTCACTCAGATTTTTTCCCACTTGATCCAACGTGGAGTCCACCATATTCTTTGATATGCGAGTGCTCGCTGGAAGAGATTTAAAAACACTGACATTTTATAATCATCATTACTGTTTCAATTTCACTTGTGTGACAAATTTCATTCACTGAACGTGCACATCTACATTCAAGCACACTGATTTTCTGCAGACTGTACAACATGGTGGAGGTTCCAGTGGTGTTATGAATGTTGTCAAACAGATGGACTGGCACTTCTATAGCTATTACTTGTATAGTTTTGGAATCAAGAAATCAAGAAAACGATTCCTGAAAATTACCAAAGGACAAGAGCGTTTGCCTGCTCAGTGTGTTAACAAATAAATGCTGTCCTTTTGTGTTTACACGCTTCAATAAATCGCTGCGTCTAAGCAAAATATAAAGAACTACTTTATGCCATAGGGAAATGGATAAATGATCTATTCTACTAAAAGAAATTGGGTTCAAATTAAAAAGTTTGAAAAGAAACATGCAAAGACTGGGATGGGGATTGTTCCAGCCATGTCATAGCACTACCAGTAGTGTAGTGTAATGTAAACCACAGTGGAAGCTTTTATAAAGTTCAAAAATATCCTAACACATTTATATTATTTACATACTATCTCACAGCTGATAGTAATGACAGAAATTACACATGTATTCCTGGGATTCATTTTCATTTTCATGTCTCTGACAGAAGACATAAAATACTTTAGATTCCACAAGTGCAGCATTACAGTGATTACAAATGCAACAAATAGCTACTGTGATTCTTAATTAATCTTGTCATTACCTTCTTGATGAACTATTTAATTCTATTAAATATTAAGAAACACTGAAAAATGCTGCCCGATAGCTCACAGTAACACATTGTGATAGCTTCTCTAATTAAACCAGCAGCCACTTCACTAACACTTGTAAATAAGAGATATCTATTGTTATAGAGTACATACATAATAAATGAATAATATGGGGGTTACAATCCAATGTACTGTATACACATCATTACATGCAAATTCATCTTGTCTCTGTAACACAATAAAAACCACAGGGGTATAGTGAGGACTAAGATTTGAGAAAAAGACTTTCGCAAAGTGAAAATATGTTTGAAGCACAGACTTTCAGCTTTCATTTAATAGGTTTTTCTTAAAGAGTACTGCATTAAATGTTTAGCAATTACAGCCACGTTTATACACCGTTTCTCATTGGACATTGTCAGTCATTGCACAACTGACTGACAAACAGATCAATGACGAGGTGAGGCCCATTCCCTTTTATTCCATGACAGATTAACCAGAGAGTTTAATCCAGCTACTGAATATTTGGCAGCTGTTCACTGTAACTCTGAGGTTATGTACTTGACAGGCTTACATTTCATTGGTAAAATACAGTAGAGCATTCAAATGTGTGTGGACTATCTGAACTTCACTGTGTTTACTCTGCACAGCTGCTGCACAAAAACACACTTTTATGAGCCTAATGTTTGAAACATTACTGCAGAGATACAGATGGAGGTGTGCCCACATCAAACACCAACATTAATATGTTACTAATGTCATATTTTTCAAATATATTACCAGTATATATATATATAAAACTGCTAATTGTGACCTAAATACCAAAGAGAAATATACCATCTATTAAGTCATCTCCTCCCAGTCAGACACGTCTGAAACACCTCACTTAGCAGTCAGCCAGGATGCATCACATTCAGATGGCCAAACTACCTCAGCCGTGGTTAAGATGCAGCAGGTGGTTTTCTGATCTCTCTTCACTTATCTGAAGAGAGCCAGACAGTCCCTTTTGGAGAAAGTTCATTTATACCACTTTTATCCATGATGTCATTCTTTTGGTCATGGCTAGTGGCCACAGGTGAAGATAGTAAGGTAAAGAGGCACAATCACACGTCATCCACTCACCCCGAATCAATTTTTCACGAGAGACCCTGCCAGATGCATTGTACCACGTAAACACAGCTACTGAAATCACATGCGTTTATGAGGAAATGCTCCACAAAGGGGATTTCATACAGTATACGAAAACAAGATAATGTTTGAATATTGTGCTTTATTACATTATTGTGTTCAATTAAAAAGAAAAAATAATCACAAAAACGATTAATTATCAATAAACATAGAAGCATAGAAAGCCCTAAATCAAATCCATATTTGCTGTACACACTTTTGCACTGTGTTTGAATTAAGTTTTGACTTGTATAACAGTTTTATTTTATAATAATACAATGGCCTCTTTTAGCCTGCTACAGTGTTATTACTGTATTAGAAGATAGTGTAGCTTCAAATAGAAAAAAGTTTACCATCTGCTCCAAATCTATGCTCTGACAGGCGCACTGCTGCTGTCCTGTTGGGGGAGGAGTTTCGTAGATGTCACATCAGGCTGCTGTCCCTTCCTGGCCTGACAGCAAAGCAGTGTCACCAGCTGCCATACCACCTTAGTGTACATTATGGCGAGGGCTGCTCCATAGGTCCCCTTAGAAATACAGGTTTGGTAGAGGTTCCACGCAGAAGACGGCGGGAGGACAGCGCATAGCAGCAGTGCGTCCGCGCGGGCACGCGGAGCTTGCAGGACACAGACACACACGAGCAAGCGCGCCCACCCCGCTCGGTCCGTCACACACAGCACGGACCGAGCTCTCTCTCCTCTCTTTCACTTACCTTCACTACTCAGCTGACAGGCTGGCCGGCTGTGCACCCCGGACAAACGGATGCAGAAAATCTGTAGCTATGTCACGCCGCAGTGTCCGGTCTGGAGAGCTGCGTGCTGAAATGTTGAATTGGACACGTATTTACTGCTCCGACTTCTTTTAGTTTCCTGCAGACTGAACCGGAGAGTTTACTTCCTGGACCTGACGTGCGACGTGCCTTCGTTCCACGCTGGCAACGCTGACGTCATGGTTTTGTCACAGGACTGTCCAGGTGGCATTTTTTAAAAATTTCTATTTTAACGAACACAGAAATAAAACAGTAAAATTACAAATAAATAAGTAAGCAAAAATACAAAGCGTGTTAAATCGCAGACTACTCCTTGGGAGGACATGTTTTTTTAGTGAGAAAAAAGTGATCCAAAAAGAGTAAACTTTAAATTTAACAGAGAAAAACCCCAAGGTAACGAGTAAATAAAATTAACATTTTAACTTTTTTTTCTTGGAAATTATCTCATGGTCACTGGTCAGTGTATCTAATGCTAAAGAAACAGTGTTGTAGCTTTAAGTGCCAAACAAATCAATAAATAAAACACGTTTGTTTCTGTTTTTCTTGTTGTTTTTGTATTAAGTCTATTTGTTTGAGTGTGCGTCTGTTTTATTTAGATGCTCTCTTGTCACCAATACTTCCCCTGTGATTTTGCTCACCTGTCTTGTTCTCCCAGCGGTCTCCACTTCCCCTGATTGCCCCTCTTTTGTGTCTACATAGTCCCTGTCTCCTCTTGCCTTCCCCCCAGTGGCTCCCTGGGCCAGTGTTTCCGAGCCTTAGTGTGCTGTCTAAGTTTTAGGTTTCAGTGAGTTTATAGTTTTCATCTCAGCCAAAATGATTGTCTTGTGTTTTTTTGTTCAACTCTCACAATCTGCATTTGCGACGCTTCCTGAAACGCTCGGAACATCCGTGTCGGGCTTTGAAAGAATGTGAAAGCCATCTCCACAGTGACATCTGCTGGCCAATTTGACTATCGCCACAGCATGATGTTCTGTGAAACAATGACAAAGAGAAGACACAATTCAAAACAAAACTACGTCTTATACCAGCTTGGTATTGATGGTGGTGCCCACACGTGTGGGAGGAATCCCCGCACAAACAAGTCAAGAAAGATAGTGAGGCTGTTATAGACAGCAGGCTGTGATCGTAATAAACAGTGTGCCTCAGCAACATTCTTATGGCGTTATTTTTGTGCCACTATTCAGAGCGCATGTAAAAAAAATTGCAGGTGCAAGTGTTGCATTTTGAGGAGAAATTTATTTTGAGCGAAGAAAAGCTAAATTTGAGTGAACAAAATTCATTGCTGCGTGCAAAAAATGTATTTCAGTGTTATTATCCATACACACACACACACACACACACACACACAATAGCAGCCCCTGTCGCTCAGCTTTTGCACTTGCTCGCAATGTGTTGCTTGCCCGTGCCCCTCAACTCTTTCTGTACACCGTTATATTTGTGCGCTACAAAACCAGCCAATCACAGACTTGGATGCAAAAAAAATCTGATTGGCTGTTTTGGTCTCTATGCAGCTCGAAATGACGAAATGCAATATCTCAGAATCCATTTCGTCCAAAACTCAAACGAGGCAGTGGCGGAGGAACACAGAGTGGCAGCGTTTGAAATATCACTCTTTCTGGGTCACAAAATAAACTTTTAAGATATTTTCATGTGAGAATGGTGCTGTGTAAACTTCATATATTTGCTTGATTTATCAAGACATCACATATTTGCATAAGTGCTCTAACGTTTTCGGAGATGCCTGTTACCCACCAGCTGACCTGGTGGTCACTCGGGTTAAACATAATATATAAGGCTGAACTGACAAAAAAAATCACTGACTACACCACCAGGTATTATAGGAAAAACCATAAAGCCTTTGAACTAAAACAAACGCTGTTGTGACAGTGATGTACACTGTCTTGTTGGTATATATGTATGATTTGTATCACCTTCATGTTTCCCTCTCACCACATATCCAAACCGATATCATGGCCAGCAGCTTTTACAGCTGTGGCTCCAGCAAACATCAGCTGATACTAGAAAGTAATATTAAATAAATTCTAACAACAGCTTATCAAGCTTGAACGTGCTGCTGTTGTTTAGCGTGACATCCGCTGATTTCCTCTTTCTGGCGCAAAGTGGGCGATAAACAAACAAGAGACGATCAGCTGATCATTGATCAGTTTCATGATTGAAGTAGCAACAGGAGAGAGTGGGGAGAGAATGAGAGAAGAAGCAGCAGCTGTGCACCAAAGACAGAATAACTCCAGCTTTGTGTCTTTTTCATTGTAGCTGAAGTCCGGGACGAATCGCGTTCCTTTTCCCCTCAATACGGATGTATTGTAATTGGTCCAGCCCAGAGTTGATCATGACCAACTGGCTAATCCACCACCTTTCATTGTTTATACCATTACAAAGACAAACAAACAAACAAAAATTAAAAATCACCATCGGCCCACCGGGCAAATGCCCAACGGCCAGTCCAGCTATGCGGTCAGCTGGTGGGTAACAGGCATCTCCGAAAACGTTAGAGCACTTATGCAAATATGTGATGTCTTGATAAATCAAGCAAATATATGAAGTTTACACAGCACCATTCTCACATGAAAATATCTTAAAAGTTTATTTTGTGACCCAGAATGAGTGATATTTCAAACGCTGCCACTCTGTGTTCCTCCGCCACTGCCTGTTTGAGTTTTGGACGAAATGGATTCTGAGATATTGCATTTCATCATTTCGAGCTGCATAGAGACCAAAACAGCCAATCAGATTTTTTTTGCATCCAAGTCTGTGATTGGCTGGTTTTGTAGCGCACAAATATAACGGTGTACAGAAAGAGTTGAGGGGCACAGACAGAAATGTTGAGAGCACAAGCAACACATTGCGAGCAAGCACAAGTGCAAAAACTGAGCGACAGGGGCTGCTAAAGACTATGTGCACGTTAGCATATGCTACTTCCGGTGCGGAAACTCCTGTGGGGAGCTTTGTTTCCGGTGTTCTATTCGCGCCCTGTTTACAGTGCAAAACAAGTTAAGCAAATGAATGAATCAAGCGGCGATTTACATTTCTATAGATGTCTTGGGTATTTACCCAATATATCTGTAAATGATGTTCATCGACTTGTCGATATTTTTTCCCTGCGCCTCAGAGCAAAAGAGAAAATGGATTCAAATGTTATATTTCTCAGCTGTCCCTTGTTTATCGCGGGTGTTATGTTCTAAAAATAACCAGCGATAGGTGAAATCAAGTAGCCAGTTTTATTTTTTGACGGTGCCAAAAATCCGCGATACAGCGAGGTGAAAGGTGAACCGCGTTATAGCGAGGGACCACTGTAATTTTGAAGGTAAGTCACAACATACCCTTCGTAAATACTAATGTATAGAAACCGTTACCAACAATCGTTCATTTTTTGTGTGGCTTTTTTTCATGGTTTGTTAACATAGGGGTGGCTGTAGCTCAGGAGGTAGAGCAGGTCACCTACAGGTTGGAGGTTCGATCCCAGGCTCCTCCAGTCTGCATGCCAAATATCCTTGGGCAAGATATTAACCCCAAGTTGCTCTCCGATGCATTCATCGGAGTATGAATGTGTGTGAGTGTAGTTAGAAAGCACTCAGTATAGAGGTAGTGCTTGTGAGAATGGGTGTGACTGGGTGAATGTGGCGTGTTGTATAGAGCGCTTTGAGTACTCCGGGAGAGTAGAAAATCGCTATATAAGAATCAGTCCATTTACCATGCTGTGTGGGTGTGTACTTGACTAGCTGATATCGACATAACGGGGGAAACATCTGGTTTGACTATTCTTCACCTGTAGTTTGAATGCTGAACATTTGCCTGTTTAAATCATAATAACTGTCACTATACAGAGATGTGCTTCTGAATGTGGACGATGTGTCTTCTGCATGCAGTAATGCAGTTCTGCTTGTGTTGAGTGATGTAAACAACTGATCGATCTCTTTAAACTCTTTAAATGTCAAAATTGATCATTCGATTTTTTTATGACACAACAGTGGTGAGTGTTCCCACCTTCTCCTCTTCGTAACTTAACTCGATCTTTCCGTTTTCGAGTTTTGGACATGATTTTGGAGTATATCTTCACAGTAGCGATTGACCGCAAAGTAAAGCTACCGGAAATGTACAACCCCACATCTGGTCTCAAACTAGGAAGTTAGCATTTTCTCGTGCACAGGGTCTATTGTGTGTGTGT